AGTCCCGCTGCAGATTCTCCCACACTTGCCCCTCTTTTTACCAAAAGGAATGCGTTTACTTTCGCACACACCTTTATCAGGATCAACACACACGTGTGACTCAGCCAATGCTAATTGCCTCCGCTGCCAAACACAACTTGGCCTCTCACGGGTATTAGAGGACAAAGATGCGTTGTGTATTTGCATGTGTGTGTGTGTGTGTGTACGTCTGCCTTCAGAGCCGAAAGCTACAGTAAATTTCCACTTGAAGGTGACTAGAGGAAAATCTTTCAAATGCAAAGGGAAGAGAAAACATTGGGTGGAAATGTTTTGCTAGCGCCCTTTCTAGCAACAGTTGTTTTAAGTTTAATAAAAATCACAGCTTTGTAAAAAAAGAAGTTAGAACTTATTATGGAAATCATCTACTTTAAAATGATACACATGGGGCCCTATTTTAACGATCTGAAACACAATATCAAACGCGAAATGCAAGTAACTTTGTGGGCGGATCTAAAATGGGTTGGTCTGAAGAAACTACATAACTCATAGGTGTGGTTTGGGAATAACGTGCAATAAACCAATCAGAGCGTCTTCTCACATTCCCTTTAAGAGCAGTTCTCGACGTTCTCATCAGGGCCGTTAAAGAACGAGAAATGACGCTGTATGGGAAAGGGATAAACCCGCCCAAATTACTTTCGGTTAAACAGGCGTATAATAATAAAAAAAATGTGTAAGCTAGATTTATGCCTATTTTTTCCACATCTTCGTAGACACCACAATGATTTCCCTCGTGAGTTAATATATTTCCAAAAATGAGAACTGCTGCGTCTGTGTAGATGAGAGAAGGAAAGTGTATGAGCGTTGTGCACACGCTACATTATGGTCAAGCACGCGCCCTTAATCTAATGGTGCGTTCTATTATAGACAACGAACCGACTCGGACCTCGGATTTGACGTCACGTCCACACTTCAAGCTTTCTATTATGTTTTGCGTGTCCGAGTCGGAGAAAAAAAATGGACGCCACCCGGAAAGCTGTTATAATGGTAGCACTGGCCGAGTACCAGGCACTTACATAAAAAAAAAATATATATATCATGACTACACCTTATCAAAACGCAGCCATTGAACTTGAAAATATTCACTTTATTTAATGTTTTTCATGTTAATCTTCTGTTAGCAACGCTAGCAACGTTAGTAATTGCACTCACAACAACCGATTCCCATACCTACAGGGGACGCAGTAATACGAGTGATTACAATTGGCATTTAAAATACCAAAGTGGTTCAAAAACAATGAAAAGAATTCATTCCTAAACGGAATTCTTGCTCAGTGTCCTCACGGTTGTCCGGCGTCCGAGTGGTGAAATCGAGGAAAGGGGGCGTGTTGCTAGGCAATGTCTGTCGTCCGATTCGGATCTCCGAGACGGATGAATAATAGAAAGCACCATTACATCTGAATAGCGACCGGTTTTTCCTGGTCTGGAATTGTTTTCTGGAACTGCACAATAGCAGTTCCAGAAAACAAATCGTCTGGAATCGTTTAAAGCCCTTTGAACAGTTTGCAGTTTGCACTGAAACTGTCTTTTGGACCTTGAACCGTTTTGTTCCCATTGAAGTGCATTATATGGAGAAAAATCCTGGAATATTTTCATCAAAAACCTTCATTTATTTTCGAAGAAAGAATGACATGGACATCTTGGATGACATGAGTAAATTATCAGCAAAAGTTTTTTGTTTTTTTTTGTTTTTTTGTGAACTACTCCTTTAATGCAAACGCAGCATCTGTTCTTTCTGTCATCCTTTAGCTAGTGTTATGATCATGCTCTTATTCATGCAAATGGTTTAAACCACTCATGCGCGACAAGACAAAAGAACACGCTGTCAGTGAATGTCCTCCTGACGTTGGTATCCAAACTATATCATAGGCTAGAGTGCAAAGTGTGTGTGTGCCATGATGATAATAACGAGGCGTTCGGGCGCGATCAAACTGTGTGTGTGAAAGAGAGGTGTGGGCGCGATACTGTGTGTTTGTGTGTAAACAAATGGAGCGCATGGACATTGCCTCTTCGTAGCTGGTTTGCGGTCGTAGCACTCTCTAGCCACTCGTTCAGGTGCTTTCTCGAGTTTTTGCAACAAACTACCGCACACATCGTTCCCGAACCACTTTTGCAATGTTGCAATTGTTATCCTTTTTGTCACTGCGATATCAGTGCTTTGTCGGCACAATGGAGCTAGCTAGCAAAACAAACCCACCCCAGCAGAACGGAAGTGGGTTGCATCGACGGGAGGAGTTTAGAATGTAGAGCGGAAACGGCACCTCTTCATCGGTTCATCATTTCTTTGGGCAGTTTTGATTAACATATTGTTAAATGTTAAATAGCTAATAGTTAAGATTATAAAGAGGACTTTAGGATTTGAAAAGGAGGAGAGGATTTGAACAGCAACTTGCATAGCTACAGGGTAATCATTGTAAAACATATTTTACTAAATAGATAGCACACTCCACTAAAAAAAAGATTTAAAATGACTAAAACGATGTAAAATCATTAAAATCGTTAAACGATGTAAAATCGTTAAAATGACTAAAAAACTATGTAAAATGACAAAAAATGATGTAAACGACTAAAAACATTGTAAAATGACAAAAAACGATGTAAAATGACTAAAAACTATGTAAAAGGACTAAAAGGGATGTAAAACGACTAAAAAAACAATGTAAAATGAACGATGTAAATGACTAAAAATGTAAAATGACAAAAATAAACGATGTAAAATGACTAAAAACGATGTAAACGGCTAAAAACTATGTAAAAGACTAAAAACGAGGTGAAACATTGTAAAACGACTAAAAACGATGTTAAATGAACTATGTAAACGACTAAAAACGATGTAAAACGACTAAAAACGATGTAAACAACTAAAAACGATGTAAAACATTGTAAAACGACTAGACAACGAATCGTTGTCTAGTCGTTTTACATCGTTTTACATCGTTTTTAGTTGTTTACATCGTTTTTAGTCGTTTTACATAGTTTTTAGTCGTTTACATCGTTCATTTTACATCGTTGCAACGATGTAAAATGAACGATGTAAACGACTACATTGAAGAAACTCATTTTGTCTATCTGCGACCCTGGAGTATTGAATAGATGGAATGGGGCAAACAGAGAAAATACGGGAGCAATGGAGTCACACTGACGCCAGATATTGCACTCTCTTTTTTGTGTCTTTCTTCACTCTCAGCTCTTTTCTTCCCACTTCTCACTCTTATTTGTCAAGCCTCAAAATCGTTGCTAAATGAACTTTCTGCCTTATTCAGACGGATCTCTTAGAGTTGAAACATTTGAGTTTCTATATTTAATCCCACAGAAACAATGTGCTTCTGTTTCTCCAGCTTGGATGGATTTCCCCATCCACAATTGTGACTGGAAAAGGTCTGTCGCATCCGTAAAGAGTCACTCGGAATTCCGGACAGGCTGCGATTCTTTTCTTAGACAAAGAGACGCCTTTCAATCGATCACGCATCTCTGTGACAGGGTATCAAGTCCTCGGCTGGCATGTGTGTGCGCCGATTCCCATCTGAGCCAGACGTAATCGATACACACTCCCTGTAAACTCACAGGCTTCTGGCTAAGGCACTAATTGTGTTTTACAAAGCCAGCGCTCCCTCACATCGTACAAATCTAAGCATGAAGAGCATGCTGGGGAATAAATCTAAATGAAATCCACCATGCAGTAACAGCAAGGCCTTCTGTTTGAGGAAATAGTCACCGCTGCTCACAATGACACAGCGACTGCCGATCAATGTACAATGAAGGGAGTGTTGATTGATATTTACACTTTACACTCTGCTGTTGTAGCCCATCCCCCTCAAGGTTGTGTGTGTTGTGGCTTCACAAATGCTTTGCTGCATAGACCAACGCCACTTTTGCGTCATCGAAGGGTAACGCCCCCTTTTGGGGGAAAACACCTCTATACTGTCTATGGGAAAACAAACGGATTCCCATGAGAACAGAACTCGCACTAGATCTGCAAAGTTTCTTGATAGCAAAAATGGCACAAACTTAAAGAAGCTAACGTTACTGAATACGGGGTTACAGAGGTTTCCCTTTGAAATGGTCGAAAACTGGATTAATGACCCCACACAGCGGCCAAATATGGACTATTCAGACATCTAACGTTACCACTATCTCGTGGAATCACCAAGCAAGTAGCCTTTTTTATTTATTTATCATTTACACACTCACAGTAGCCTATGACAAACTACTAGACGATGAGGCCATGTCACTTGGATCATATTTAACTTGATTTAAGCTATTGACAGTTTTGTTGTCGACTAGCTATTAGAAAGACTAGCTGTTAGCAGCTAACGTTACCTTATTAGACTGTCAATAGCTTAAATCAAGTTAAATATGATCCATTCATCGTCTAGTTTGTCATACTGTGAGTGTTAATGAAAAAAAAGGCTACTTACTTGGTGATTCCACGAGATAGTGGTAACGTTAGATGTCTGAATAGTCCATATTTGGCCGCTGTGTGGGGTCATTAATCCAGTTTTCGACCATTTCAAAGGGACACCTCTGTAACCCCGTATTCAGTAACGTTAGCTTCTTTAAGTTTGTGCCATTTTTGCTATCAAGAAACTTTGCAGATCTAGTGCGAGTTCTGTTCTCATGGGAATCCGTTTGTTTTCCCATAGACAGTATAGAGGTGTTTTCCCCCAAAAGGGGGCGTTACCCTTCGATGACGCAAAAGTGGCGTTGGTCTATACCTCGGTTGTAACGAGTGGTTATTTCAGTCAAAGTTGCTCTTCAATCAACTGCCATGTGATTGGTTGATTAGATAATTGCATTAATGAGAAATTGAACAGGTGTTCCTAATAATCCTTTAGTTTAGGTGACTGTAAATATATCTACATATAATTACTTGAACAATTTTGTATCGCAAAATTATATAAGTATATTTAAGTATATATATAAATATAATTACACACACACACACACAATGTTAAATCTCTTACCTTTCCCACGTAGGCCAGCAGCCGTGCGTTGAGAGGACTTTCATCTGAACTCAACCAGAACTCTGAGTTATCATCAGAAGAAACTGCAAACTGAAAATCACCTGGACAAATGAGAGCGACAGACAGTGTGAGCGACAGGTAACAACGCTTGCTTCTTATCTTTGATAACGGTGTAAATGTGATTGTGAGAGGATGTCATTCTGTATCTCCATGAAAAATATCTAAAAGCAATTTTTACTATTAAAACAAAAGAGCATTTACCATCCTTGTAAGGTAGAATATATCCAAATATTCTTAGGCCGTAGTTCTTCCATTTTGGAGCCACAGCCAACTTCTTCACTGTAGTTCTCGTCTGGAGAGATGAAATGTTTCAATATGAAATTAGTATGTAAAATAACATTGTGTTGGGGTGAGTGTTGAAAGAAATGGTGGGTGGAGAGGCCGGCGTTTCTCGATCTTTACAATGGACCTGAATCAACACCTCAGATGAACAATGACTGCTTTACAGCCAACATGAACTCAGCTTGCATCATTTAATCATTTTATCATCACTATAGAATAGAGTGTTATAAATAAAGGTGACTTGGCATTTTTAGATGGATTTTCATATATTTATATATTTTAACCCCGTGTCTGGGGTTAAAAATAATGACATTTATACAATAAAATAGTTGGGGAAAAAAGCTAATATGAATATTTAAGACATGACTAAAAGGTTCCATGTCAGTTTTAATGCCATTCCATAAAATAATAATTATAATAATTCCTATAGTTGTGAAATCAATCACTGAGAGATAATGGTGTTAATTTATGTTCATTGTATTTCAAAATAAAATGCCTATGTGAGTTTTGAAGCCGCTCCTGCTGTGTCTGTTCAGTCTCACCCTGCCATAAAAGCTAAACAGACACACACACATCACAGTGTGTGTGAGACTAGAATCTTGGCAAAATCACAAAGACAGAAAGATGGAGATCAAGAAGTAGAGGAACAGAGAGGAGGATTTCCAGAACAGAGATACACTATTTTCACAGTTCACGACGCGTCTGTGTGTGCTTTTACTTTCGTGGGTTCTGACAGACTTATTTTGTCTGTGATCTATAAAAACAGGACGGCCAAAAAAAGAACCAAAATATAAATAAATCACAAGGTATAAATGTGAGGAGGTGGGAGGACTGTGTAGGGGGTCTGAACTAAACAGCACTCACAATAACAGCTCAGGAGAAGCGTAGTGTATAATTCCACCCGTTACACCCCGTAGGGGTTCAGTCGATTAAAGGGGGAGAGAAGGGCTGAGGATTTCAGACACACCTTCCAAACCCAGATCATAATCAACAGAAAGGTGCTTCTTGATCAATTAAAGGAATAATTCAGAATAATAGAATTGGAAATAAAATATTAGAATTTTATTATTAAAATCAAATAAATACATTCAAAATAAATCAATAAATAGTAAATTGTGACAGAATTGGCATATGGGACCAAAATAACAGTAATCAAATGAAAGAAAAAATTGAATGAATGAATGAATGAATGAATGAATTGATTGATTCAATGAATGAATGAACCATTCATTCATTCATTCATTTATTCAACCATTAATTAATTAATTCATTCATTCATTCATTAATCCATTCATTCATTCATTAATCCATTCATTCATTCATTTAACCATTCATTCATTCATTCAAACCTTCATTCAACCATTTATTTATTCATTCAACCATTTAACCATTTATTAATTCATTCAACCATTCATTCATTTAACCATTTATTGAATGATGAATGATGAATGAATGAATGAATGAATTGATTGATTGATTCAATGAATGAATGAACCATTCATTCATTCATTCATTCATTCATTCATTTATTCAACCATTAATTAATTAATTCATTAATTTATTCATTCATTAATCCATTCATTCATTCATTCAAACCTTCATTCATTTAACCATTCATTCATTCAACCATTTAACCATTTATTAATTCATTCAACCATTCATTCATTTAACCATTTATTGAATGATGAATTATAAATGAATGAATTAATTGATCGATTCAATGAATGAATGTACCATTCATTCATTCATTTATTCAACCATTAATTAATTAGATAATTAATTAATTCATTAATCCATTCATTCATTCGTTCATTCATTCATTCATTCAAACCTTCATTCATTTAACCATTCATTCATTCATTCAAACCTTCATTCAACCATTCATTCATTCATTCATTCATTCAAACATTTAACCATTTATTAATTAATTCAACCATTCATTAATTTAACCATTTATTAATTCATTCAACCATTCATTCATTCAACCATTAATTCGTTCAAACAATCATTCATTCATTCATTCATTCATTCATTCATGCATTCATTCATTAAACCATTCATTCATTCAACCGAATTTGGCGAATTTGATATGGCTAGGTGATACCAAAATAAAAGTAATCAAATAATAATACGTCCATAATTATCAGAAATATCATTTATAATCTCATAACTTCTAAACCAACAATTAACTCGTAGATTTCGCTTGAACTAAACAAAAACATGTACACTTGAAGCATTTACATTTACACCAAAATGTACACAATTACATCAAAAAATTAAATTCTCTCATCATTTACTCACCCATAAGTTGTTCCAAACCTGTAATAATTTCTTTCTTTTTTCTTTCTTTCTGTTGAACACAAAAAAAGATATTTTGAAGAATTTTAGGAACCAAACATTTGCTGGTCCCCATTGATTTCTATGGTATAGACAAAAAAACATACTATGGAAGTCAATGGGGACCAGCAACTGTCTGGTTACTGTCATTCTTCAAATATCTTCCTTTATTTTCAACAGAAGAAAGAACTTCTTGCAGGTTTAGAACAATTTGAGGGCGAATAAAAGATGACAGGATTGTCTTTTTTTGGGTGAACTGTCCCTTTAAAGATCCAATGAAACAGATCAAGCACACTTTCATTACTTGCATACATTTATTTCCTATGAACATTTCCTATGGGGTGGGCCATATCGAAGAGCTCATTCATTTTTTATAACAGTCAATAGGTTTTAATTACATCACAGCCAAGCCATGTAACCTTATTTGCAACTTACTAAAGCGGTTGGTATTGGGGGAGGGGCATTTGTGTTTAGAGAGCATTGTGGACACACCCTGGAGTGCAAGATTAGTCATCAAGATCGATGTACATTTTAAATGCATTTATGTCCACTAAAAGATTGCATTTGTCAGTAGAACTCTAAAAATCGAATACCACTGAAGTTGTCTTCCACGAAAGAGAAATGGATTTTCCAACTGAGCGAAACATACCGACAAGTTCTTCTAAAGAGCAAATTCCTCCCGACGATCACATAGCAGCATGTTTACCCAGCTTTCTGCTAGTATTTACTTTCCACCGTTTCCGTTACGCTTCACTGGGCTCCCCATGCAAATTCATGGCCACTGTAGAGCAAGACGTGGGCTGATGTTTTAAAATGCCTATCTGACCAAACACAACACTGTCACATTACTCGAAAACTCAATTATGTTTTTCTCATATCATCCCGGCAGCTGCCGTTTAAACCAAAACAACATGCTTTCTAATATCTCTACTAAAGGTTGTCATACCAATGACTATATATGGTGCAACATAGCCCTGTTTTAGGTACATTTCCCCCTTTTAATCTGTTTCCATTTTGCTCTACATAGTCAATCATAACAGTATGCTCGATCTCATAAATCATACAAGCTAAACAGATACTCAATAATTAACGTGTTGATGTTAATAATTAACTCAGTCTTCTAAAAACAAATTGTCCTCTTTAAAGCTCAAAACTGGCCACGGGGCCAATCAAAAGTGTACAAACTGTTTCAACATTGGAATTAAAGATTCTTTTTTTTTTTTTTTCAATATCTCACCGCAGCTTTACTGTACATCAGTAATTCTCAGAAATTATCATTATGTACAATTTACAGAATAGATGAGCACTGATGCATTTGTCTTTAAGACCCACTGTGGTAAAAATAAAAAATAAAAGCTTTTAATGTTGTTTATTTGTCTATGGGGTGTTTTTAATATGCTTTAAGAAAAACCCTTTGCAAATTCACACCATTGCTGAGTATTTTCTCCTTAAAACTGCAGAAAGACAGTCTCAAAAACACGGTTTGAAATCACTGGTGTTTCTGATGTCACAAAATACCTTGTAACCAATCAGGTCAACGTGTGATCATCTACGAGTGAGTGGAGGCGGGGATCATTTGCTAATTCATAGAACCACGTATACTAAATGAGGCAAGAGTGAAGTTACATTCAAGCTATTTTAACCCTCAGGTGCTCTTCGGTCATTTCTGTTTTGAAATTTTAAAAATCTCAGCTTATTCGGAATGTTACGAAACTCGGTGACGTGTGTGAATACAAAAAAAAAAAATTGAGGTCATGATCCGAGCACGCTAAGTGGTCGTAAAAAAATAGTCACACTTGTGGTCTTGACCGACCCATAGGAAATGAATGGGAAATTGGCAAAAAAAAAAAAATTCTCTGAATTTTTGTACGTGCAATCTACAATTTGGCCACAATTGTAAAAATAAGTACACCGCAGGAAAGGGGTGACACTCTACAACATCTAGAGTGCAAAACAGACAAACCCACCCACACACACACACATACAAACACACTTTTATACACGTACACCAATAAATTTTGATTACAAAAAGTATGTTTTGAATTTTTAAAAATCACAGCTTTATCGGAATGTTACGAAACTTGGTGACTTTTATGGCATTATGTATGTGAACACACAAAAAAATTGAGCTCATGATCTGAGCATGCTAAGTGGTCTTAAAAAATAGTCACACTTGTTGTCTTTGGTCAAAAATAACCCCCATAGGAAATGAATGGGAAATTGACAAAAACACAAAAGTTCACAATTTTTTATTTATTTTTTAAAAAATTGTAATAAAAAAATCGTTTTTGAGATTGTTTCAACTATATGTTCAAATTCACCAAAAAAGAAAAAAAAAAAGAAAAAAGAAAAATTGTTCATAAACATCTGGGGAATTCACATGCTTCTCCATAGAGAGCTGTACATCTAGTGGTTATATATATATATATATATATATATATATATATATATTTTTTTTTTTTTTTACATGGCAAAAATGGACCATAAATATTTCATAAATATTAATAAATTCAATCAAATTGTCTCAAAATACTAAATTACAAAGAATAAATATTATAGAACAAAATTAAATTGCATTAGTTTTACTCAGATGGAGGAAATTTAATCTTTAGGTGTCCGGTCACTTTTGACCGGGAAGATAACAAGTGTGACTCCGAAACGAAGAGCACCTGAGGGTTAAGGCATGAAAAAAAGTTTAAATATGTATTTTTGGTGATCAAAGATGAGTTTTACAAGTATTGACTACAGGGGACTTTAAAAGACATTGGGGCCAAAACGTATATTTAGTCAGCCACTGATTATGCAAGTTCTCCTACTTAGAATAATGAGAGAGGTCTGTAATTTTCATTGTAGGTACACTTCAACTATGAGAGACAAAATGCAATAAAAAAAAAAATCCAGGAAATAACATTGTAGGATTTTTAAAGAATTTATTTGTAAAATATTGTGGAAAATAAGTATTTAGTCAATAACAAAAGTTCAAATCAAAACTTTGTAACATAACCTTTGTTGGCAATGACAGAGGTCAAACGTTTCCTGTAAGTCTTCACCAGGTTTGCACACACTGTAGCTGGTATTTTGGTCCATTCCTCCATGCAGATCTCCTCTAGAGCACTGATGTTTCGGGACTGTCGCTGGGCAACACAGACTCCACAAATTTTCTATGGGGTTGAGGTCTGGAGACTGGCTAGGCCACTCCAGGACCTTGAAATGCTTTTTTCGGAGCCACTCCTTCGTTGCCTGGGCGGTGTGTTTGGGATCATTATCATGCTGGAAGATCCAACCACATTTCATCTTTAAGGCTCTCCCTTGGAAGGTTTTGGCTTAAAATCTCACGATACATGGCCCTGTTCATTCGTCCCTCAACAGGGATCAGTTTTCCTGTCCCCTTTGCAGAAAAACAGCCCTAAAGCATGATGTTTCCTCCCCCATGCTTCACAGTAGGTATGTAACTCTGCATTCTTTTTCCTCCAAACACGACGAGTTGAGTTTTTACCAAAAAGTTCTATATTGACCACACGATATTCTCTCAATCCTCTTCTGGATCATCCATATGCTCTCTGGCAAACTTCAGATGGGCCTGGACATGTACTGGCTTAAGCAGGGGGACACGCCTGGCACTGCAGGATTAGAGTCCCTCTCGGTGTAGTGTGTTACTTATGGTAGCCTTTGTTACTTTAAGCCTAGTTCACACTACGTGATTTTAAGCCCGATTAAAGCCCGATTTGCAAATCGTTGAGTCGCCGACAAGTCAGGGTGTTATCGCGTGCAAATCGCGGGCGATTAGCGGACGATTAACGCTCGCCAATCCGTTAGTGTGAAAGAGCCAACAACGCATCAAAGACAGCTCGCAGACAGCTCGCAGACAGGTCACCGAGCTCAGAAAAATATCTAGCCTGCTAGATATATCGAGCAGTCGCGCGACTCAATCTCAGTGATGTCATGAGTACAGCCAATCATAGCAACGCATGGGTTGAGGACACCAGGTAAATCTTACTTTTTCTTTTTTTGCATTTTTTTTCTCAGAGCAGATCGTCGAGCAAACGTGTGCAGCACTAGTTTCTGTCTGACGTCCATATTCGCGTGTTATGTTCTTCTCTGTAGTTTCGCATCATTTCTGGTTCGTTTTATTGCGTGGTTTTTCGTTACAAAACATGGTTTCTAGACCAGATAGAATCGTGTTGTTGTCAACTCGTTATTTGTTTGATTATTTTCAGGATTAAGACCGTACTATAGTACTGAAACAGCTCTCATTGAGTCACAAATGATATGCTCTTATCATCCGATCGTGGTTGTATCTCTATGCAGTGCGTTGTTAACTCGTGTAGTGAGTTACCTCCTGTTGTGGATCAATCACGTTGTGTTGTGTGGTGTGAACAGCTAAACAACTTGAACACTCATGATTTCACTGAGAGCAAGTCATGTAATGTGAACTGCACAGTTCAGCCCAACATTTTAAAATCATGTAGTGTGAACTAGGCTTTAGTCCCAGCTCTCTGCAGGTCATTCATTAGGTCCCTCCGTGTAGTTCTGGGATTTTTGCTCACCGTTCTCATGATCATTTGAGATCACAGGATGAGATCTTGCGTGGAGTCCCAGATCGAGGGAGATTATCAGTGGTCTTGTATGTCTTCCATTTTCTTACAATTGCTCCCACAGTTGATTTCTTCACACCAAGCTGCTTGCCTATTGTAGATTCACTCTTCCCAGCCTGGTGCAGGTCTACAATTTTCTTCCTGGTGTCCTTCGACAGCTCTTTGGTCTTGGCCAGTGTTGAGTTTGGAGTGTGAATGTTTGAGGCTGTGGACAGGTGTATTTTATACAGATAACGGGTCAAACAGGTGCCAATAATACAGGTAATGAGTGGAGGAAGAAGTTACAGGTCTGTGAGAGCCAGAAATCTTGCTGGTTTGTGGGTGACCAGATACGTCATTTTCCACCATAATTTAGAAACAAATTCTTTAAAAATCCTCTAATGTGATTTCCTGGATTTTTTTTTCTCATTTTGTCTCTCATAGTTGAAGTGTACCTAAGATGAAAATTATAGACCTCTCTCATCATTCTAAGTAGGAGAACTTGCACAATCAGTGGCTGACTAAATACTTTTTGGCCCCACTGTATGTTCCCACTGTTTTCCCTAAACTCATGATGTGTATATGTCCACACGTCACACAAGATTTTGAGAATTATAGCCGCTTGAGGACAATAGACAAACCAATTTCATCTACCATTTACCCAAGATTACATGAATATGTGATCTGGTCTATGGCAGTTTGAAAGACATTGAAAGTATGAAAGACATATACATGATCATATATCCAAGGACATGTGGACAAAAGTGTTCAAACGTCTGAGATCTTCATGTAAACCTGGATGTTTGGGGATTTTTTTAGAACGTACAATGGACCAAAAAATTAAGATTCTGCATTATATTTAGTCACTAATTTTTAACATTGATCATCTTTGTCAGATGTTTTTTTTTTTTTATTCAAACACAAGAATCTCTTCGGATCGTTTCCAAATGATGCTGGAGAACATAACCGTCGGGTTTCGCTCATGTTAGCAAGCTCATTAGCAAAAGAGGCACAAACAATCCATAATTTTTCATTCGCTATAATTGTTATGCTGATAATATAATGTCATAAAAAGCAGATTAGTCTCAGACTTTTATATTCATACTCACATGGGGGTAGAGAGGAAAATGCAGGTTCTTCCTGAGCTGAGCGACTGAGGAGCCACACCAGTCTTCAAACACGTGGAGGTTCGCTTGACCTTTAAACTGTCAAGAAGACACATGGAAGACCTGAATTAAGATTACTTTCCGAGACACTGGTGAAGTGAACCAAAAACTGTGCTGAACCTCAATACAATCACTGTAATATATGAGTTTGGGTCAGTCTTTTTTTTTTTTTTAAAGAAATGAATACTTTTATTCAGCAAAGGGTGCATTAAATTAATCAAAAGTGACAGTAAATACATTTATAATGTTACAAGAGGTTTCTATTTGAAATAAACGCTATTCTTTTGAACTTTCTAGTCATCAAAAATAATAATCACTGTCTCCACAAAACTATAAAGCAGTTTTCAACATTGATAATAATCAGAAATGTTTATTGAGGATCATATACGCATGATTTCTGAAGGATCATGTGACTGAAGACTGGAGTAATGATTTAGCTTTGATCACAGGAATACATTACATTTTATTATGTATTCAAATTGCAACAATATTTCAACATATTACATTTTTTTTTAATTAAATTGATCAAATAAATGCAGCCTTGTTGAGCAAAAGACTACCGACACCAAAACATATAAACTATAATTTTTTCAGCCAAGTATTTAGTTCAAGCCTAATGCTCTCACAAATTACCATATGTATAAATGATCAAAAAAATGACATAATTGACATAAATGAGATACTATTTAACACAGTATTGCTTAGACAAATAGTCTTGATTGGCTATGATATTTCAGGTGATTCTATTTACGCTTCAAAATTCATAAAAGTTGTGTTCATTGGTGAAAATGATGAACAAAACGTGTATGAATCATATTTTGTATCTCACGAAACCAATGGGGTATTGTCAATGGGAACAGGTTGATGCATTATTATGACCTGCCATAGAACAATTCCACCAGATTATATCTTTCTATTTTTACATGTGTTGCTGTCATTCTTTTGAGCATTTTCATATGCCATACATCAAAATAATCCTTACTCTCCCAATTTGAAGGCTATGTTTGTAATAAATCAATAGTAACTAGATAAATATCTCGAAAGTGTTTTAGGATATTTAACTGAAACCAAATATAGGCTCTTAAACAGACACACGCAAACCGGAGAGCCAGCGCTCCTGTCCGTCTTAGAGGGTTAAAACCATAGACTGTAAAAAATATGGACAAAGCGTCTGATGTCACCCATAGACTCTCTGAAGAACGGGTTTGAGGCTGTTTATGGGGGGTATGGGCTGGAAAATCTTGGGAAATACAAAATCCATATGTTCAGAGAGGATACAGAGGTGGTTGTGTCAATCAAAGTTAACCGCCCTTATTTGTCATACATTTTATATCTAAATATGATCTAAACTAACGAGTTAGAAAAAAATTCACCCCCCACACAGTTGTCAGGCACTCAGAACCTATCGAAAAATACAATAAAAGTCCATGGGACCAAACTGTAAAAACATGAATTTATGCTGTGAAAACGGATATTTTAACATGTAGCATATGGATATTTGCTCCCTTTTGGGACCGGCCTCTAGTGGACTTGAGATGTATTGCAGTTTTTCGCACTTCATTTTTAAGATTAGAATGTTGCCGCTTGGTTAAAACCCCATCCCTGCAGCACTTTATAAAGTCAACCCCGATTTTTGGAAAACCTCTGCACTGCAGTATTATGAGATTTATAGCTGAAAGACACTAATGATTGAGTCACCAAACCGCTGAAGATCCGTGAGAAGGGGTGCAGATCTATTCCTGTACTGACCGCTACTGAGTGACCTCAACAGAACTGAACCGTCATGTTTTGGTCCACAGGGAGTTAAGCATTAATAAAACACAACAGCTATTTAGACGACTGGTGTTGTGGCACGTTGTTCCACACGCTCAACGGAGCGTCTACAGATCCCCCCCAAAAAACACAACAAAACATCAGAGGTGTTACACCCCGAAGCCGAAAGGAGGAAAACGAGAACATTTTCCAGCCCAGTAGAAAAATCCGATTGTTTCAGAAAGCGCTCATGGTGCTCGCTTCTGATGGGGTGCGTCACAAACGGTTAGCATCAGTTAGCATGCTAAAGCACGGATGACCACGTACAATACTGAGAATGCCCCCTCTCGCCGATGTCAGTTAAAGCTTTTTAAGCCCGACAAATAGAACCGACGTATACGCATTAGACAGCCGGCTACACTTTCAACCGAGTATATTTTATTCCTGGTACTTGGTGCCTGTCAGAAGACATTAGACTCGAGCAGACAGAAGAGAACTGGGAGTTATTGTTTATTCCTTGCTGTTGGCGTGAAATTGATTCTTTTCTCTCCCTCGGCGAATTCTCTAAACGCGATCAATACGAGAAGATCAGAAGCACAATTCTGTTACACACCACATTTGCACACACCACAGAGACTAAAGGCACCTTGCGGTTGAGGAACCGGAGGAAAATTCATTCGCTTTCATGAACTGGAGAAAGTTTGGTTGCATCAGTTTGCAATGAATCTTTGATGTACAAATTGTCCCTGACCATCACAGTTGAGGTGAACTCGGTCAACCCATCAGTTCTGTCCTTTATCTAATAGTATCGGTAACTGACCTCAGGCACAGGAGGGATGGTGGGCTTCTTGCTAAGAAAGCTTGAAGTAGTTGGTGATGCAATTTCGAGGCCTTTCCAGGAGTCATATCATGCAAAAAAAAAAAAAAAAATGAATAATAATATATATATATATATATATACTGTATCTATATACAGTATTGACTCTTTTGAAATATGTGTTTGTAGATTACTGTGTTCAAACCCTTAAAAAGCTGCAAAAATAGCTCCTTCAGAAATATTCAAGGTTGTGACATAACACGGATGGACAGGGCTCCAAAAAAACATTTTTTTTTTATCCAATTTGTGTCCAATTGTCCATATCCATTTTTAAAAAAATCTGTTTTAGGCAAAAAATTGCTTGTTACGAGGTTTAGTTCCCATTTAATGGCACAATAGAGAGCCTAAGTCTCGCCCCTCCGCTTCCGGCTCATGGGACCTTATTTCGGAAAAAATATGAATGGTAGTCAATGGCGAGAGACAACTTATCTTTTTATTCCGTCTGAACTGTGCCCTCAATTACACATATGATGTTTGTCAATTTAAAAGATAATTCTGAAAGTCAAAAACGTCACAGTTTGTCATACAACAGAAGAGTAACATTTCTGTGAACTACATCTCCCGGAAAGCGAAACGAGATCCGCTGCTCGTGTGTGTGCAGTCTGGTACAAAACACTCAGGTAGGACGGCGTAACGTTACGATTATAACGTAAGACTGTAGAAACAATGACAGACAGCCTCAGTAAAGTTAACTTCATTCATTGAGAGAAAATGTGTGCCTTTGGGGTTTGTAGTCTTTGTAATTATGTATTTTCACAGTCTTATACCTCAACGGTTTTACATCAGACTGCGACTTTCTTTACTTTAAAATGTATCTTTTAAATTGACAAACATCATATGTGTAATTCAGGGCACAATTCAAACGAGATCAAAATATTTGTTGTCTCTCGCCATTGACTACCATTCAATATTTTACCGAAATAAGGTCCCATGGTGGTCGACTGGAAGGGGAGGGACTTAGGCTCTCTATTCACCCTTCGCAGGGAGTTTGATTGACATACGATCTGACCAATCATAACCTCCCATCCACCGAATCCTCCATTTTGTCCGATAAAGCTGTCAGGAGCCAGTAGTAGATTAATGTCGGTGGATTTGAACTTGAAAAACGGTGTGTCCTGATGTCTGTTCGCGGTTGAAACAACATTCCTTCTGATGTTCATTCATGTTAATTATAAATTAACTTGAAGGAAGAGATGATCGGTTCACGAGCAGCTTTAACTGAGGCGCTACAACGATCTGTCGCGACACATTAAAGAGCCACAAAAACTTTTTTGCTTAAATTTCTTTTAAAAAGGGCCAAATTTGGCATTATATGGCAAAATAACACATTTAAACACGCTTTCCAGACTTTCGTCAATGGTAGTAGATTTTACATTATTGTTAGTCTGAACATTTTTCGGTCTGGACTCGATCCATTGAGGAGTAATTATGATCAGTCAAAAAATGATCGGGCCAATCAAATTGCCAGGGCGGGCTTTATACGATAATGGACAGATGATCTGCATGGACATAATCATCACGTTATCAAAGAGCGCTAACTGGTTTCCTTCAAAGATGACTGCAGCTGGAGAATTGAGATGCATAGATTCCGCTGTTGTGAAATAAATCGACAGCGCATTCATTTTAATAGACAAACAGAAAACTGCAATCAAGGCATTTGTCGATCGGAAAGATATTTTTGCCGTCCGTCCTACATGATTCGGGAAAAGTGTAACTTATCAGCTGGCTCTGACGGTCGCTAAGTTAAGAAGATGGGATGTAATGAAAAGCCTGTGGTCGTCGTGGTTTCTCCTTTGGTCGCACTCATGGAGGACCAAGTAAAAAAAGCAACACTCGTTATTTAACTTCTAAAATAAGTAAGTTCTGTAGTTGACAACTGTATGGAAAGTAGTTGACTTACTGCGTTGCTCTGATTGGTTGTAGGTTTACCGACAATCCAATTGAGTGCAGAGTTTTTTTTTTTTTTTTTTTTTTATTCCTGGTTCGTGCCTCATAATCAAAGCCCTATGGAGCAGTTTCAGACTCATATTCCAACAAGAATATGAGTATGATGAAGTCAGGCTACATTATTGTCTAATAATTCTCTCTTTTTTGTGTTTGTCCATTGCTGTAGCTGTTTGGAGCTCTGGCTGAGACCGTGCTAACTATATTGGACCCAACAACAAACCCAAGCAGTGAAATCCATGTGAAAAGGTTAGCCAATCATAAAAGAGACCACTTACAAAGGGGTCTTAAAGGTACAGTAACAAAAGGTTAAAACAAATCTGTCATCATTTACTCACCACTAACGACAACATCCCAACAACATCGGATCCCCACTGAGTTTCATTATTTGGACACATTCAAATATATTTAAGATGCACTTATTTTATTTCAAAATATCTTCTTTTGTGTTCCACAGAAGAAAATT